ATGTGTGTGATATTCCAAAACATAGTTAAATAAAAAATATGATTTTGCAGAATGTTCTCATTTTATAGACTATCCCTCAAGATGTCATTAGTTATATTTAATCAGATTCAGCAAAAAGAATCGTGTGTGTGTGTGTGTGTGTGTGTGTGTGTGTGTGTGTGTGTGTGTGTGTGTTATGCCCTACTTAGGATTGAGTATTCAGCAGTCTCTTGTTCTCATCACTTTGACCAGCTGTGAATTTTTGCAGTTACCACTGTCTACTGTAAAAGGAAACTTCTCTGATCTATGGGTATAATTATTATTTGAGAACTCTCTGTTCTGTTATCTACCCCATTTTAAAATTGAGTTCTTTGTTTTCTTTTCTCAGTTAATGTCTTTATTCACCTCAAAATCTATTAAAGAGCCACCACATGACTCCCAAAATACATGTACCCAGTATAATAACATGGAACATTGTGACATTTCTTTCACTGCCTTTAATGGTATTTCTATTTGGTACTGTAAAGAACATGGTTCTCTTCATAGCCAGTGATCTTCACCTCAATATATTATTTTGCAATTTTTTAATTTGGAAACAATCTTATTTTACATATCAGTCCCTCCCATCCTCCCATGCCCCCATGGACCCCCTAGCTCACTCCTTAAGGATAGTGAGGCCTTTCCATGGGGATCCTCAAAGTCTGTCACATCTGGGCTGAAATAGTATCCCTCCATAGGGAATGGGCTCCCAAAGTCCATTTGTGCACTAGGGATAAGTATTGGTTCCACTGTTAGAGGTCCTATGCACTTCCCAGGTCTCATAACCGGCACACACATTCAGAGAGCTTGGCTTGGTCCAATGTTGGTTCCCCAGCTTTACAACTGGGGTCTCTGTGCTCACACTAGGTCAGGTAAGTTGTTTCTGTGGGTTTCTCCAGCAAGGTTTTGACTTCTTTGCTCATCCCTCCTCCCTCTCTACAACTGTACTCCAGGAGCATGGCTCAGTGCTTAGCCCTGGGAGCCTGTTTCTGCTTGCATCAACTACTGGATGAAGGCTCTAGGATGGCAATTAAGGTAGTCATCAATCTCATTATAGGGAAAGGGTATCAAAGGCAGCCTCTCCACTACTGCCTAGATTCTTAGATGGGATCATCTTCATGGATCTCTGAACATTTCCCTAGTGCCAGATTTCTCTTTAAACCTATACTGACTCCATCTATTAAGGTATCTCTTCTTGTTCTCCTCTATTCCTCCCCTGACTCAGTCTTCTTGATCCCTCTTGTTCTCCTCCCCCCTCCCCTTCTCCCCTTCTCTTTTTCCTATCTCCCTCCCCTCTCACCCTCATGGTTCCAATTTGCTAGTGAAACCATCTGGCCCTGGGCATTTTTTTGGTTGGGAGACTTTTGATGACTGCTTCTACTTCCTTGGGGGTTATAGGTCATTTAAATTGCGTATGTTTTCTTGATTTAATTTTAGTAAGTGATATCTATCCAGAAAATTGCCCATTTCCTTTAAATTTTTGAATTTTGTGGAGTACAGGTTTTCAAAGTATTACATTAATCTTTTCTGGATTTCCTCAGTGTCCATTGTAATGTCCCCCTTTTCATTTCTGATTTTGTTAATTTTCATGTTCTCTCTCTGCCTTTTGGTTAGTTTAGATATAGGTTTGTCTATCTTGTTGACTTTCTCAAAGAACCAACTCTTTGTTTCATTGAGTCTTTGTAGTGTTTTCCTAGTTTCTACTTTATTGATTTGAGCCCCCAGTTTGATTATTTCCTGGCATTTACTCCTCCGGGACCAGTTTGCTTCCTTTTGTTCTAGAGCTTTCAGTTGTGCTGCTAATTCTCCAGTGTGACTATTCTCCAGTTTCTTCATGTGGGCACTTAGTGCTATGAACTTTCCTTTTAGCACTGTTTTCAAAGTGTCCCATAAGTTTGGGTTTGTTGTGTCTTCATTCTCATTAAATTCTAGAAAGTCTTAATTTCTTTTTTATTTCTCCCTTGACCCAGGAATAGTGCAATTGCGCATTACTCAATTTCCATCAGTTTGTAGGGTTTCTGCAATTTGTGTTGTTGTTGAATTCTAACTTTAAAGCATGGTGGTCTGATAAGATACAGGGGGTTATTCCAATTTTTTTGTATCTGTGTAGGTTTACTATGTTGTGGAGTCTGTGGTCAATTTTAGAGAAGGTTCCATGTGGTGCTGAGAAGAAGGTATATTCTTTTGTATTCAGATGGAATGTTCTATAGATATCTGTTAAACTCAATTGGGTCATAACTTCTGTTAGTTCTTTTGTTTCTTTGTTAGGTTTCTGTCTGGTGGTCCTATCTAGTGGTGAGAGTAGAATGTTGAAGTCTTCTACTATAAGTGTATAAGGTTTTATATGTGATTTGAGCTTTAGTAATGTTTCTTTTACGAATGTGGGTGCCTTTGTATTTGGGGCATAGATGTTCAAGATTGAAACTTCATCTTGATGGACTTTTCTGTGATGAGTATGAAGTGCCCATCTTCATCTCTTTTGATTGATTTTAGTTTGAAGTCTAATTTGTTTGATATTAGGATTGCTACACCAGCTTGTTTCTTGGGTCCATTTGAATGGAAAGTCTTTTCCCAACCCTTTACTCTGAGGGAATGTCTGTCTGTCTTTGACATTGAGATGTGTTTCTTGTATGCAGCAGAAGGATGGATTCTGTCTTTGTATCCATTCTGTTAGCCTGTATCTTTTTATAGGCAAGTTAAGACCCTTGACATTGAGGGATATTAATGACCATTGATTGTTGATTCTTGTTTGTTTTGGGTTTGTTGGTGTGGTGTTGTTATGTGTGGATTTTCCACCTTTTTTCTTTTGGTGTTTGGTAAAGTGGGATTATCTGATGCCTATGGTTTTTTAAGCATTGTTATCTTCGTTGGGTTGGAGTTTTCTTTCCAGTAATTTCTGTAGGGCTGGATTTGTGGATAGGTATTTCTTAAATCTGGTTTTGTCATGGAATATCTTGTTTTCTCCATCTATACTGATTGAAAGCTTTGCTGGATACAGTAGACTGGGCTGGCATCCTTGTTCCCTTAGCATTTGTAGAACATCTATCCAGGATCTTCTGGCTTTCAAAGTTTCCATTGAAAAGTTGGGTGTAATTCGGATAGGTCTGCCTTTATATGTTAGTTGGACTTTTTTCTTTTGCTGCTCTTAATATTTTTCTTTATTCTGTAAGTTTTGTGTTTTGATTATTATGTGGTGAGGGGACTTCTTTTTGTGGTCCAATCTATATGGTGTTCTGTAAGATTCTTGTACTTTCTTAGGCATATCCTTCTGTATGCTGGGGAAGTTATTTTTCCATGATTTTGTTAAATATGTTTTCTGTACCTTTGAGCTGTATTTCTTCACTTCTTCTATACCTATTATTCTTAGGTTTGGTTTTTTCACAGTGTCCCTTATTTCCTGGATATTTTGGGTTAGGGATTTGTTGGACTTGAGATTTTCTTTGGTTGATGACTATATATCCTCTAGTGAGTCTTCAACACCTGAGATTCTCTCTTCCGTCTCTTGTATTCTATTGGTTATGCTTACATCAGTGGTTCCTGATCATTTACTCAGGTTTTCTATTTCCAGCATCCCCTCATGTTTCTAATTCTGCTTTCAAACTGTGAACTGATGTTTGAATTGTTTCCTTTACTTGTTTGTTTGTTTGTTTGTTTTTGGCTTTCTTTAGATTCTTTAAGAGATTTGTTTATTTCTTGAATTTTTTGGTTTGTCTTTTCCTCCATTTCATGTAATTTTTTGCTTGTTTTTTCTTCTATTTCTTTAAGGTATTTTCTTGTTTCCTCTTTAATGGTCTCTATCATCTTCATAAGATAACTTTTAAGGTCCATCTCTTCTTCATCCTCTATGTTGGACTTTTCAGTTCTTGCTGGTGTGGAGTCCCTAGATTCGGGTGGTGTCATATTGGTCTTTCTGTTGTTGAGTGTGTTCCTATTTTGTCGTCTTCCCATCCCTTCTTCCAATGGGTGCACATGGAGTCTCCCTCTCTCAGGTGGAAGGCAGAGAGCAGACTTATTTTTATCAATTCTTTGTATTGTTTATTATTGTTGCTTACTTTTCATCAATTTTGATTATTTCTCCTAGTATATTACTTTAGGTTTTTGTTTTTTTCCAAGGATTTAATGATTATATTAATTCATTAATTGGATTTTGCAAATGTTTTGATGTAGTTACTTAGTGTTATAAACTTTCTTTTTGTTTGTTTGTTGGTTCTTTTTAAAACAGATAACTTAACGTTTATTGTGCAGTTTTATCCCCAACAGAACATGTGGCATTCTAGAGGCATATGAGATAAGGAAATAAAAATTCCAATGAGAAGACATGAAATAATTAGCTCTAGTAACAAATGTTTCTTATTTTTAAAAATATTGAATGTTTAAAAACTCTTATAACATTTTAGGTTCCTGAAAGAAATGGCCTATCACTTAAAAAACAACTTAACTCTTCTATATAAGTTGTTCACAAAAATGTGTGCTATTCTTTTTTATACTATGCATTTTAGCTTTATTAACATTCACTAGTGTACAAATTCTATGCAGCATAATCAAATAGAAATTATTCAGAGAAGCCACAAGACTCCAATAAAAATATTAGGCTCAATGGCTTTTTCACAGTTTCCCACAAGTATTCATCATAGAAAATAAAGTAAAGGCAACTGACCCCAGAGTTAGCTGCTACATGCCATTCTGCAGAGGAGAGACATGAAGGAGAGGCTCACCTGGGCGGGGTCAGGCTGGACAGTGATCATGTTCCCTGCCTGCCTCCAGCAGGTCTTGCTCCCAAGGCCTTCACAAGCCAGGCCCATCATGGCTTTGGCATGCTCAAAACAAAACAAAACAAAAACAAAAAACCTACAGGGGCAAAATCCTACACCCCTTATTCCCAGACTTAGATCCCTTCTGGGGCTCCCCACCTGCCAACCCCTTCCAGGGATGCTCCCAGGACTGTAGGACACAGACCAAAGGCATAGGTGCTCAGGCCCCATGGGCACTGGAAGCAGGGCCTTGAGTGGACCAGGCCACACCCCCATGCTCCAGGTGCCTGAGAAGAGGTGTAGCATAGACTGTAAGAGGAGCCAGGCTGGCTCTGTGGCTGCCTTGGTTTCCCCCAGGGACCCTAACCCCTTTGGGGGAATCAGAAACACCACACTGCACAGACAACCTTCACACTGGATGGGGGAGCTGTATCCCACATATCTACAAGCTGTAGGCCCCCTGACTTACCTGTCCTGCTGCGGCCTGACACTGCACCTCCATGGCTGGGAGGACCAGCGCCTATCTCAGGGAATTGTTCCCAGCAGTGGTGTAGGGAGGAGGGGGAGGTACAGGGGAGAGGGGCTGACCTCAGGTGTCACCAGCACTTTTGATCCAGTCCGGTTACTGTGGCCCCTGCTCCCAAGGACTGCTTCCTGGACCCCTTACTCTGGAGGTTATCAAAGCAGGGGTTCTCTGGATATCTTTCTACTGCCCAAGCCAGAGCTGGGGTCTTGGCTTAGGGAACCAATGAAGCCAAATAAACTTGTAAGCTGTCTCTGTGCCGCAAAAAAGACCTTTCTTAATGTCTCCATGGTTTCTCAGAGAGTTTTGACATATTTTCATTTTTATTCCATTCTAGGAATTTTAAAATATTTATTTATCTTATTATACGTATATGGTCATTTTGACTGCATGCATGTCTATGCACCATATGTGTGTCTGGTGTCCACAGAAGTCAAAAAGGGTGTCAGAACCCTTGGAACTTAATGACTGTGAGTCACCATATGGGTGCCAGGAACCGAACCCAGGGCCTCTGCAAGAGCAACAAGTGCTCTTAACTGCTGAGTCATTTCTCCAACCCCAATTCCAGGATTTTTAAAATTTCCTTCTAATTTCTTCAGTGACCCATTATCCGAAAGTGTGCCATTACTGCCCTTGAGTTTGAGTATTGTCTTCAGTTTCTACTGATGCTGTCATCCAGCTTTAGTACATGGTGGTCAAATACATGACAGGATGCAATTTCAATTTTCCTGTTATTTATTGAAGCTTGCTGTCTTCCCTAATATGTGATCAGTTTTGGAGAATATTCAGCTGAGCAAATTGTGTGTTCTTTAGCAATTGGGTGGGATGTGCTGTAGATAAACCGTTGTGTTTATGACATATTTTAAGTGCTATGTTTCCTTGATTAGTTTTTACCTAGATAATTTATCAATTGTTGAGAATAGGTGTCTAGGTGAGGGTGTCTATTGCCATGAAGCGACAACATGACCACAGCAACTCTTATAAAGGAAAACAACTAATTGCGGTGGCTCACTTACAGCTCAGAGGTTGAGTCTATAATCATCGTGCTGGGGAGCATGGTAGCTGGGTTATGGCAGCATGTAGACAGACATGGTGCTAGCTACATCTTGATCAGAAGGCAACAGGAAGTAGACTGAGTGTCACACTGAGTGAAGATTGAGCAAAAGAGACCTCAAAGCACTCTCCCATAGTGACACACTTACTCCAACAAGGCCACACCTACTCCTAATAGCACCACTGCCTTTGGGGGCATTTTCTTTATAGGGCATTGAAGTCATCCACTGTCATTGTGTAATCTGTGGCTGTACATCAATTAGATTTTATAAAACTGGCTGCACTTGTGTTTGGTGGAGATGCTTTTAAAATTGTAATAGTTTCTTCATGTATTGATCCTTTAATAAGAATGAAGAGTACCTCCTTATCTCTTCTAAGTAGTTTCAGTTTGAAGCCTGTCTTGTCGGATATTAGATTAGTCGTGCCTGCTTGATTCTTTGTTCCATTGGCTTAGAAAATCGTTTTCCATCATTTTACTCTAAGATCTATCTTTGGTTGCAAGACATGATTTGGGGATGAAAGACATGAATACTGTTTTCTAATCCAATCTGCTAGTCTGTGTCTTTTCCTTGGGCAATTAAGACCATTAATTCTGAGATTAGTTCACTAAATTCAGATGTGTATAAGTTCCTGTCATTTGTTGGCTTTGTGTTGTTTTCTTAGACTTCTTTTTATTAACTTTCCTGATACTGTTTATTTATCACTGGTGGCCAGGTGTGTGTGTGTGTGTGTGTGTGTGTGTGTGTGTGTGTGTGTGTGTATGTGTGTGTGTATGTGTGTGT